CCATAATTGCCCGACCGACTGCTGCCACACCCTGGGTGGTGAAGTTAGATGACAGCTGCTCTCATTATGTTTGAATGATGACAGAATCATACAGAGACAGACTGACTGCACTTTGTGTCCAAATGGGAAATTAATTGAGATATGATACCACCACCAAAGAGCTGGAAGAAGCCAAAAATATAGCACTATTTACAACAGCTTTTAACTGCAAACAAACCATAGTTAATGTCAGGCTTAAATCTTGTTTGGGTCCGGCACTTAAAAAGCTTAGTGTACAGTTGTGCTATGTCAGGATGCTGAAAGACACAAAAACTCCTACCCTGCGTGAAAGTCTGCTAAAGTACAACATTTTCAGCAACCTTGTGCTAATTTCAGTCTGTTTACACACACAACATGCATTAGAAATGCCCTTATCTCTCAAGAGCACAGAACACACCCCAGTATTCTGGGTCATCTGATCCCCGTCATAACAAGCTCAGGGCTTGATATGCAAAAAAAGCAGTTACACAGAAAATTCAGGGTCTATAACAAAGGTCAATATGTGGAAAAGAGGGGTCTGTTCTTTACCCAACCCCTGCCTTCCACACTCAAACACAGACACAGACGCTTAAGCACAGACCCTCATCACCATATAAAACAGGGCTCTCGTGGGAGAGGGAGGGGCGGATCACAGAGGAATCGTTTCCCAAAACCCAGAACGGTGGCTGTGAACAACTGCAACAGTGTCTAAAGCTACAGGACTGAAATACACAAATGTCTTTCTTAGGAGATTTAAAGAAACGTCTAGACACACACAAGCACACTGTAAGGACAAAATAAAAACGGAATACTTTAACAGACCCATTTTATCAAGTACATTTATCACAGGATTTTTCCTTCAATTGTTTACACACTTAACTGTAATGTATATTAACTACTCTTCACCTACATCCTTAGATACAGTACATAAACTGGGAATACACACTGTACAAAATAAAAAATATATTGTTGGTTTAACTTAAAAAAGTAAGTAAGCTGGTTGCCTTAAAATTTTAAGTTGATTGAACTTGAAAAAGTGAGTTAACACAATGAAGGAGATTGATTTAATCAAGAAACTCAAAATAATAAGTTATCTGAACTAAATAAATTATTTAAGTTGATTTGACAAAAGAAACAAATCATTTTTTACAGTGCAGTACTTTGTAGCCTATTATTTATAATATACACAATATACACTTTTGTTTGGATAAATTACATATTTTAATTATTAAAATATTTGAATTATTTTGATTATTTGAGCAGCCAATAATTTATAGGTCAAGCAATCAGCTAATTTATTATTAGAATTAATTTTATTTAGTTATGGATTAATTGGGGTAATACATCTCATATATATATATATATATATATATATAGGCCAATGTGTTAAAAAATAATAGTAAAAATCAAACAATTCATATTTAAAATATTTATTATTTATTTATTTAGACCTGGAATTAAAAACAGGAAACTGACAGTTTTACAAAATAAACATTATATGAGTACGGAATATTTCAAGCAAACGAATTTGTGGCATATTTAATGTCCCACTGATACTTATAATGTCTTCCACATAAAAAGAGCACATTATGCCCATAATTTAAATAATCCTAGATAACATGATCATCAGGTTGTGGAGTCCATACCAGCTAGTGCAAAAACACATTACTTTCCAAATACTACAAAATTAACATTTCAGCTCTGAACTGTTGTGCTGATAATATATTTTATAATGAAAAAGATTACATTTGAAGCACTTCACTATATGCAGAGGTGTCCCCCTGATAGCGCATTGTATGTGTACAGTATATTGTTATGTAGTACACTGTGCATGATGAGCACTGATATACTGTAGCATGTTTACTGCACCCTTTGAAGAAAACCATCAAGTCATATGTCATTTTTTTCACCAAGTTAACTTAGCCAAGTTAAACATGAATTCTAATTGTAAGCCTGTGGTGCAACACCACACCTTAGGACACGCACACATGCGGCCTTATCAGGAAGCAAGCAAGCAAATCTATTCTAATATCTCAGAGCATGTGTCATGCAACACCACCCATGCAGGGAGTGTTTGGGCCCAAGGTGACGAGGCAGCATCTAAAGGAGAGAGAACCATGACCAAGCAATGACACAGGCGTGACCACAACTCCTCATTAAATCCTGCGTTCCCTAATCCCTACCCTGCAGCACCATAAAGACGGACATGCAACGGAGACCTAGAAACGTGCTCAACACAAACAAACAAGCAGGGCTATTGAGCTGAAAACACTGGGCCACGCTACCGTGTAAGGCGGGTGGAGAACACACACACTGACAAGCTCACGTTCCCGACCACACAGAGAAACAGGAATACCGCAAAAAGAAAAGGCAATGTATGTTTGGCCCCCCTTGTGGATACTATTTGTGCATGCGTCAGGTCCTTCCAATGCAGGCCACTTTAACAATGCTCTCTCTCTCTCTCTCTCTCTCTCTCTCTCTCTTCACAATTTCCCTATAACTCCAGCTAGTATCATATCTCATCCATGTTCAAATCTACCCTGCTTTTAATCAACAGAAGCATAAATCTAGCAGCCCATAGGAGTCAAAGACAGAAGCCGGGTACTCACCATAACACTACCTACTCCATTTTCCCATCCAGTGCGGTTGTGTGAGGGAGGTGCCTGCTATACGATCCACTGCAGGCTGCCTGCCTCATGGACGGATGCTGATGATGTAGCGCCTTTCAGGAGAGCAGCCCAGTTGCCTTGGAAACTGAGGAGTGATGGAGTGGCCGTGCTGCTCTCCCATTGGTTGCTGCTCTCGCTGGGGGCCCCTGGTGGGTGTGGTTTCAGATGAGAGAGGAAGCAGAACTGTGTGAAAGCACAGATGCACAACATCAGAGAGAGAGTGCTGTCTTTTTGCAGTAACACACACACACAGTTTCACTGACAAGGCTTAAGCTAGTCCCAGACTAAAATGCATGTTTCAAATGTTTTAACTTAAAGCAACTTGCACTGATATATCTTAAAATATGTCAGTGCCACTGTTTTGTATCGAGATGCACACCAGTAAGTTGTTGTTGTTGTTTTTTTTCTGAGGCACATTTATAAAAGCAATTTAAATGTCCTAATTGAACTAAGGCTTAATCCTGGTTTAACGTAAGCCGGTCTGCAAAATCAGGCCAAAAAGTCTAAAATGTACAACTATTTCCTTGATAATAAAAATTTCGCTTATTTTCTCGTATCCCTCTCAAAATAATACCTTTTCCCCCTCTCCTTACAAAAAATACTATGGCAGTTCAACGATACCAGATGAAAATATTGTGTAATGTGTATATAAAACAGATAAAGCCACATAGAACAGCACTATAAACCAATATTTTAATATTTATGCTTATATTATTTGTTTCATATTAAAATCTTAATACGTTGCGTTTAACGTTTTAACACTAGCTAATTTAAAATAAAAATAGCCTACCATAAAATCATAAAGAAACAATTTATATATATATATATATATATATATATATATATATATATATATATTGTTTGTTTCTCTATGATTTTTTTCTCCTTTTTTTTGAATAATTAATCACCGAATCCTGGTAAACACCACACGCACCGAGGGCGTGTATTGATGGTGGGCAGGTGCAATTTACTTGCTAACGACCGGCACATCCACGGGTCATTTCGAGTTACAATTAATTTAAAGTTCATTTCAATTCGAACATGCCTAATAGAGATGATGTCTGAGTGAATAATTGTACCTTTCAAACCATAAATAATCCGTACATAATTTTCCATTCCGAAAACAGCCAATCACAGCGACGCAAGCACTGCCTCCTCTCACGTGACTTGTCGACGTCGTCTACATTTTTGGCGTTTCTCAACCAAACACAGTAAAAGAAGTTCTCAACTTCGCATTCAGGCCACACTTTAGAAATATAACGCATAACGGTCGAGATGGGACCGGTTGGAGCGGGAGTAGAGACGCGCCGCTAAAAGTTTGACGCTCGACGCCATTGGTTCACGCGTGTCACATGACCGAATATGACATAAAATAAAAAGTAAATTGTCATTGTAAAGAAAATTTGGAGGGAAAATATATTTAATTGTTACTAGTTTTGGAAATAATGTTACAATGTAAATATCATAATATATATTAATATATATTGTGTAAATATATATTTGTATACATCATATGTAATAAAATGTAATATAAATATAATTATACCTCTCATTGTTTTTATCGCTTTTGATTCTGGAATGAATTTTGATTCTTGTTGCAGTAGTTTATTGAAACCATTGGATGGCGACAAAGTTACGCTTTACTACTGATGCAACACTGTTTTTCTTTAGATTTATAGAATAGATTATGTTATTCTATAGAAATAATCTTCTAAAATCGAAACATAATAATCAACTGGGGGGAGGGGGGCATGTGGTTTCACTGACTATGACTAACTAACTAATAAGAGACATGATGTAATCTAAAGAAATATTATGCACAAATAATCAGAAGATGTTGAAAATGTAGGAATTAATTATACTATGTATTTTGTATTCTAAAGCTAACAGTCTTTACTTTATAAAACGAATAGATTGATAATGGACAAAGCATCTACTAAATAAATTAACTAATGAACTAACTGTTCAGCTAAAACTGTTCCCGACATTTATTGTTTTAACATAAAAGAGCTTCACGCAGAAGAATCTAACGGCCCTAGAGCTGTGCAGTCAACTCTTTTATTTTTGTTTTCATTGACAAACTGCCCTTATGTCACTGCAGATGATGCTGCGGTAGATCTTTCTGAAACGATGACATCATCTCACTAGCCTTGGCAGTGGAGCCGAACACAAGAAACGCACTCCATTTTGGCTCCAATCCAGAGTGAAACCTAATATTCCACCCCTGGTATTCTTAGAGCCAACATGGCGGACGAAGAGCTACAGTTTCCTAGTTGTTATTGCTTATGAAGGAAGTATGCCGTGAAGCCCTTTAACGAAAGAAATGCGCCCTCATTGGTTTCCACGGTGTTTACGGAGCGAGAGCCAATCATATGTGCCCGCTGATCCAGGTGATATCCCTCCTACCAGTATCTCCGGAGTAGGTTTATTTTGGTTTACCCCCCGCTCCTGTGCCGCCGCCATTAATGCCAGTATTGGTAACATCGGCAACAGATATGGGAATTCCGGTGTTGAAAACCCTATAAAACCCGCTTTGATCCGAAGATCGTGGTGGTGTTTGGGGTTTCAGAGGGAGGGAGAGGAATAACATGGGTGTTCGGACGCAGAATCGCTCTGCTGTCGCGGTAGATTGTCGGTGCTGAGCTGGATTTGGACCCGATCGGATTGGGTTTCGGTAGAGCAGTCGTTCGGTTTGCACAAGGGCGAACTCGGGAACGGCAGTGTTTGCAAACTGAAGTGTGGAGTGCAAAGACAGGTAAAGGGCCTTTATATTTCTGTGGGAGGGGGTAAATCAAATCACAGTAACAGAATGCAACAGGGCAAATTCAAGTATATTATTTTTTAGTTTCCTAATGCTCGGCTTGCTATAATTTACAGACATATTTATTTATTTATTTTATGGTGATTTAATTTTAAGGAAGTGAAAATGTCAACGGACAGTGTAGCCTACAGTCTGAGTAGAAGTCAGCTGTATGTGTTTATTTACAGTGCCGATAGCAACACTAGAGCTTTTTTTATGGTGTTGTTGTAGTTCGGGAAAAATCGACACCTCGGTGTGGAATTCCGAAGCGAGCCGAGAGTGTTTACAATGCATCAGCGCGGAGTTTCTACTGATACATAAGAGCTGTATGTATACATTTGAACTTGATACATTGTAGTGGCGGAAATGCTTCTTACGTTCCCTTTACATCGCCCGTTATAGACAAACTTCCTCTCACCGTTATAGCCAGATTTCCTGTCGTGTAACAACAAGAGGTATGTGATATATAACGTTATGCCTATCTAGACAGTATATTTGTGCGGTTTCAGTATTGCGTCTAGCATTTTGACAGCTCACTATCCAGTCTGACAGATTCTCACCCATCCAAACATTGAACCTACATGCTTTTGAACTTATAAATGCTTGTTTTTGACAAAATTTGGCGCATAAAAAGTTAAATGTCATATGAACGTGGCAAGTACCAATGATGTATGATGATAATACCATGTTTTATGGACCTCCCATGGTGATAACCTGGTTTTCTTTGACTTCAATGTAAATTCTGAAAGTTTGGAACTATTACTATTTTTTAATGTTCTTGAAAGAAGTCTCTTGTGCTCATCAAGCCTGCATTTATTTGATCAAAAATACAGAAAACAAATGAATGGTTTTCTATTTTAATATACTTTAAAATATAATTTATTTCTGTGACGCAAAGCTTAATTTTCAACATAACTCCAGTCTTTAGTGTCACGTGATCCTTCAGAAATCATTCTAATATGCTGATTTAATATCGATGTTGGAAACCGTTGTGCTGCTTAAGATTTTTTTATAATCGTACGAATAGAAAGTTAAATTATTATTATTTTTATTATTATTAGCCTGTTTAGCAACGAAATGTTAAATTGATCAAACGTGATTGAGTTCTATTATTAAAAAAGATTTCTATTTTAAATAAATGTTGTTCTATTTTAACTTTTTATTCATCAATGAATCCTGAAAAAAAGTATCAAAAAATATTTAAGCAGCACAACGGTTTCCAACATTGATATTAAATCAGCATATTAGAAGGATTTCTGAAGGATCATGTGACACTTAAGAATGGTGTAATGATGCTGAAAATTCAACTTTGCATCACAGTAATAAATTACATTTTTAAAGTATATTAAAATAGAAAACCGTTATTTTAAATTGCAATAATATTTCACAATATTACCGTTTTTTCTGTATTTTTGATCAAATAAATTCAGGCTTGATGAGCTTATGAGACTTCTTTCATTAAAAAACAAAATGGTAATGTTTCCGAACTTTTGACCAGTACTGTATGTGAATTATTCAGTGTTACTGTGTTACCACCATAGGACAAATTTGTCAGGGAAATCTAGGTCATCATGATTTTTCCCCTCCTTTTTTAAGCAAATGTTAATAAGCAAAATCTAGTCCAGTAACCAAATGAGAGTGTAGGAATGTAGGTCAAAGGATGTGACCGTTTGCCCCAGTGAGCTGGATTCATCTCTGTCGTAACCCACCTGCTTGGACTGTCAGGAATAATCCAGAGTCCTGAACAACTTTCCGGTCTAAAAAGCCTTTCAGAATAAATGTATTGTGCTCGTTTTTTATTACAGCAGCAAATGGAAAGATTAAGGTCGCGGAGACACATGTGATTGAAAAGACAAAAGACAGACAGATTTGTGTCTGTTTCTAGCCTATATAAAGAAACATGGAGAAAAGCACAGAATGTACATACTGTCAGGTCATCATGATTTATGCTGATATACATTATTTAAATCAAGTGCATAGCTTATAATAGTCGGTAAAAAAAGGATATTTTAGGACAAATGCAAAAAGTTACTGCATGGTAACATATATGCTTAGTAATTTTGAAAAAAAAAAAAACGTATTTAATTGTTAACAACTCTATTATAGTGGGGTCCAAAAGTTTAAGACAAAATTGAAAACCTGGGATTCATGATTTTGACAAATTTATAATAAAGAAAGGTTAAATGTCGAAATATCCTGCACTATTTCTACTAGGTCACTAATCAAATTTGTGAAATCGACCATGTAAATCATCTGTTCAAAAGGTCTATTGGAGCACAAGATGCTCTTGGAACATTCTCAAATCGGGTTTTTATTCTAAACTTGTGGATTAATCAAATTGTATCAAAAGTGGAAAGCCAGTGGGACAAAACAAGCATTCTAAGTAAAGTTTGGGGTCGGTATCTCACCAAGGTAATCAAAAAATATCACCAAGGCTGCATTTATTTTAAAAGTATAGTAAAAAAAAAGTAATATTATTACTTACAATTTAAAACTATTTTCTATTTAAATATATTTTAAAATCTAATTTTTTTCCTGAAATGACAAAGCAAAATTTCCTTCAGTCTTCAGTGTCACATGATCCTTCATTAATTCATTCTTATATGCTGATTTTCTGCTCAAGAACCATTTTGTATTATTATCATCAGCTCTGGAAACAGTTGTGCTGCTTAATATTTTGAATATAGAATTGGAATAGAATTTTTATGTAACAAAGTAAAACTATTCACTGTTACATTTGATAAATCTAATGCATCCTTGCTGAATAAAAATGATTAATTTCTTAAAAAATACTTGCTGACCTCAAATATATATATATATATATAATTTTTATGTAACAAAGTAAAAGTATTCACTGTTACATTTGATAAATTTAATGCATCCTTGCTGAATAAAAATGATTAATTCTTTAAAAATACTTGCTGACCTCAAGTAAATATATGTGTATATATATATATATTTTTTATGTAACAAAGTAAAAGTATTCACTGTTACATTTGATACATTTAATGCATCCTTGCTGAATAAAAATGATTAATTCTTTAAAAATACTTGCTGACCTCAAATATATATATCCTATTATTGTTGATCAGCATAGTTCCTTCTTTCCCAGCAAGAACTAAACTTTGCCTGTCTGTGATTATTACAGGAGAAGCTGGAGTGCGCTGTGACTGTGAGCGTGTGAAAGCAGGTGAAGAACGGAGGACCGGCGGCGGGCGGAGGGGAGGGAGGGGGGGCGATCAGCTGGTGTGACCGGCGCGAGCGAGGATGACAGATTCTGGCTTGAAGTGGAGCTGCGAGTACTGCACCTACGAGAACTGGCCGTCCGCCATCAAATGCACCATGTGTCGGGCCCAAAGGCACAACGCGCCCATCATCACCGAGGAACCCTTCAAGAGCAGCTCCAGCCTGGACCCCCAGCTCTGCACCACCCAGGGGGGCTCCACTCTGCTCATCTGCCCCGACTCGAGCGCCCGACCCCGGGTTCGGATCGCAGATGAGCTTCCCGAGACCAGCAGCAAATGGTCCTGCCGCATGTGCACCTACCTGAACTGGCCCCGCGCCATCCGCTGCACGCAGTGCCTCAGTCAGAGGCAGCAGGGCTCAAAACAGGGTCCGCTCAGTCCGTCGGACGCCCCCCAGACTTCGGACTCGGGCTCCAGACCCTCCCCGGTCACCTCGGACCCGTGCGAGGAGTACAACGACCGGAATCGGCTCAACATGCACGCGCAGCGTTGGCCGTGCTCAGTTTGCACCTACGAGAACTGGCCAAAGAGTCTCAGGTGTGTGGTGTGCGACCACCCTAAACCCAGCAGCACGCCCGAGCCGCCCCAGCAAGATTCGGAGGCGGAGAGCGCCACGTCCCCGTCGATAGTAAACGAGCAGGAGCGGGATAACGTAAGGACAGCGGGGGGAGGCGGGGTGAGCGGGGGTCTCCGGGGCAGGCAGAGGAAACTCTCTCCCCCTATGTGTAAAGGGCAAGCGGAGGTGAAGATCGAGCTGGCGTCCGGAGCGGTGGGCAGCGATAACGAGCAGGAGGCAGACTTTAAAAAACTCAAACAGATCCGGAACAGGATGAGGAGAAGCGACTGGCTCTTCCTGAACGCCTGCGCTGGTGAGAAATGAGCCCCATTAGTGGCAGATACAGTTTCCCCAAAATGTATTTAGCCACATTTTAAAAGTGTCTGAAAGTCATTGCATTAGATTGAGTGTCTGTATCAGTGCTCAAATGCTGCTGGATCTTTTCTCTTCACTCACTTTCTTGCTTAATGTCTTAATCAGCTGGTTTTTTGGTGATTTTTTTTTTTGTTTGTTTTAGAGATGGTAACACTTTTACAATATAATCTAATTTTATCATAAATGCATTAGCTGACAAATAATAATGCGTAGTATGTTTTTAGTTTACAGCATTTATAAATCTGTTAATAATTTCAGTTAATTGTAATATGATTGTCCATTGTTCATGTTAGTGCAATAACAGATACAACTTTTGATTTTAAAAAGTAGTAAATGTTAAAAATTAACATTGACTAATTAAAGGGATACTTTATTAAAGGCTCACTTTACAACTCCCCCATTTTACAACTTTTTGAATCCATTCAGCCGATCTCCGGTTCTGGCGGTACCACTTTTAGCATAGCTTAGCATACATCATTGAAGAGCACCAGACCATTAGCATTTCTCCCAAAAAAAATTACCTAAAAAATTAAAAATTAAATAAAAAATGTATTACAAATAAGTGTTTCGAGTTAAACTGTTGAGTTTTACCTTTTTTGAATCCATTCAGCCGATCTCCGGTTCTGGCGGTACCACTTTTAGCATAGCTTAGCATACATCATTGAAGTGAACAAGACCATTAGCATTTCTCCAAAAAAAAAAATGACCAAAGAGTTTCGATATTTTTTCTATTTAAAACTTGACTCTTCTGTAGTTACATCGTGCACTAAGACAAACGGAAAATGTAAAGTTGTGATTTTCTAGGCTGATATGACCAGTGGTGGAATGTAACGAAGTACAAATACTTCGTTACTTTACTTAAGTACATTTTTCACGTATCTTTACTTTACTTAAGTACAATAAATAGTGCCTACTTTTTACTTTTACTTCGTTACATTTTGCAGCAATTATTATACTTTCTACTCCACTACATTTCTACAACTTCTGTTACATTTTCGTTACATTTTCTGATCAGTTTTTCCCCTGCCAAAACGTAATCTGACCGTCCGTTCGTTGCACGTTTGTCTCACCAGTGACGTTTGGTTGCCATAGATACAGTATATCAACCCGGTCACACTAAATGCGTCTCACACGCAGTGTGTTTATCGTGCAACTCATACGCGAAAATTTGTTTTTACGTGCATAGGAAACACACCGTGTGTAATATATGTTTGGTTTGGTTAGGATTATGGCAAGCCAAGAGGTTCAGAATTACACCATAAATGAATCGCGTTTACTGCCATAACATTTAACATTTATAGTTATTAACATATAGTACTAAGGATAAGCATGATATTGCCTAATTGCAAGCTTGTTTCAGAAATGGTGACATTTTTTTCCATCATTATTGAACATCATTATAGGAGTAGGCTATTAGGTTGAATGAGTTAGAATTAAATGTTTTATTAATCATTAGAAAATAGACATTAAGATAATAAATTGTTATGCAAGTACTTTTACTTTTAATACTTAAAGTACATTTAAAATAAAGTACTTTTTACTTTTTACTTAAGTATGGTTGTCATTGTGTTACTTCTACTTTTACTAAAGTAAATATTTATCTGGGTATTTGTACTTTTACTTAAGTACTGAGATTCAGTACTTCCTCCACCACTGGATATGACTGGGAACTATACTCTCATTCCTGCGTAATAATCAGGAAACTTCACTGTCGCACCATGAGTGCAGCAGGCGCAATGTTATGACGCAGCGCCTGAAAATAGTGCCCAGCTTCCAACGTGACTGGGACTAAGTTTGTGTAGTCATCGCGCCTGCTGCACTCATGGTACGACAGTGAAGTTTCCTGATTATTACGCAGGATTGAGAGCATAGTTTCCTGCATATCAGCCTAGAAAATCGCAACTTTACATTTTCCGTTTGTCTTAGTGCACGATGTAACTATAGACGAGTCAAGTTTTAAATAGAAAAAATATCGAAACTCTTTGGTCCTTTTTTTTTTTTTTGGAGAAATGCTAATGGTCTTGTCCACTTCAATGATGTATGCTAAGCTATGCTAAAAGTGGTACCGCCAGAACCGGAGATCGGCTAAATGGATTCAAAAAAGGTAAAACTCAACAGTTTAAAGGATTAGTTAGTTCACTTTTGAAAAAACTTTTGCTGATAATTTACTCACCCCCATGTCATCCAAGATGTCCATGTCTTTCTTTCCTCAGTCGAAAAGAAATTTAGGTTTTTGATGAAAACATTCCAGGATTTTTCTCCATATAATGGACTTCAATGGGAACCGGATAGTTCAAGGTCCAAAAGACAGTTAATAACAGTTTCAGATGCAGCTTCAAATGTCTTTAAACGACACCAGACGATGAATAAGGGTCTTATCATGCGAAACGATCGGTTATTTCAAAACTTATTCCAAAAATGTAACTTTTCTAAGGAAAAATGCTAGCCTTGCTATATTATCTGAGGCGCGTTTGCAACGTCACGTAATACGTAATTATGTTCAAAAGGTCACGGGCGACGTAGCCGGAATTACAGAATCAAAATTGTCCGACATCGTTGTTTTTCCTTTTAATTCCTTTTTTTGTAAACGGCGTTTGAGTTAGTTTGCACGTTCAACCTATGCGTTCAACTTGTAAACACTGATTCTGTACTTCCGGCTACGTCGCCCGTGACCTTTTGAACGTAATTACGTAATACGTGACGTTGCAAACGCGCCTCACAGAATAGAGCAAGGCTAGCATTTATCCTTAGAAAAGTTACATTTTTGCAATAAGTTTTGAAATAACCGATCGTTTCGCATGATAAGACCCTTATTCATCGTCTGATATCGTTTAAAGACATTTGAAGCTGCATCTGAAACAATTATTAACTGTCTTTTGGACCTTGAACCATCCGGTTCCCATTGAAGTCCATTATATGGAGAAAAATCCTGGAATGTTTTCATCAAAAACCTAAATTTCTTTTCGACTGAGGAAAGAAAGACGTGGACATCTTGGATGACATGGGGGTGAGTAAATTATCAGCAAAAGTTTTTTCAAAAGTGAACTAATCCTTTAACTCTGGGGGAGTTGTAAAATGAGCGTATTTCCACAAAAGTGGAGTATCCCTTTAATGCTCTGGTCTTGAAGCATTGTTCATTATTAGTTGATGTTAACTAAATGACAGAATGCTCCTCTTTGTGTTCATACAATTGCTTAAAGGGATACTTCAGGATTTAGCATTAAGCTTTGTATTAGTAGAAAACCTGTAGTATTTTCGAACTACTGTGCTTTCCACCCTCATATTCCCCTGAGACGAGAGATTTGTGTATTTTTTGTCTGTAAAAAATCCTCTGTCACAAAATTGTCATTTTGTGTCATCGGAGGATTTTTTGGCCAGAGGTTAAAGACTACAGTCAGTAGTAGGGTCTGTCCCGCATGTTCTCAACCCGCCCATAGAGGCTGGGATCTCACTCACAGAATGAACACATAGTGTCAGACATCTTTTTTTGGAAGCTAAGCTAGCAGGCTCTTGTTCTGTGGAGAAAACTGAGTTTTAACTTTAGGGGTGACCATCATCTTTTTCCCGGACATGTCCGGGATTCATCTTTTGCTTTCTGCAATCGCCATTCATTCTTTACATGTTACAGCTTTAGTTTCAATCTAACTGAATTCATTGCGATTGGTGAATCTGAATGTATTGTTTACATGAAAGCTAAAAAAGTGATCGGTTGATGTGCGTTTTAACATTGCTAAGAAAATTCCCGCTCCTCCGTGAGAGATACGAGACCGGTGCGTCTCACAGGTGTCGCTCATCGGTAATCACGCCACCGACGGCCCTCACTCACCACAGTAAACATGATGAATGGCAACTGTAGAACGATAAAAAGCCGAATCACGAACATTTTGGGCGATCTCGAAACAAATTTTCGGGCAGACTTATCACGGAGACTCACTAGTAGCCTAGACTTGTTGTTTAACCACTGCGCTCTGTTACAGGTAGGCGTGGCCTCCTAGGGCAGCGAATCAAGTGCATTCTGGGAGTTGTTGTCTTTCATCCACATAAGCCCAAAAAATACATTTTCTGGCTTTTCTCAGTCTAGAAAGCTCCAAATTCAAAAATAATTTCACATTTCTTCAACATAAATGACCTATTTTAAATACACATTCATCTTTCCTGAGGTGAACTATCCCTTTAAATAGAGCTTCTAGTGTTAACAAATGAGATCACAATGTAAAATGGATTTTTTTTAAGTGTGGCTAAACTGTGATGAAGTGGAAATTAAAAGCCGAATCTTTTGATATCAGCTGGTATCAAACCTTTTTTATCATCACTAGTTTGATACAAGCTGACTTTATCCCCGTCTCGTTGACTCTGCTACTTCTGTCTGCTCTCTTGCATCAAAGTATGAAATCATTGATCTCTAAAGCATCATCATCATTGTCTTCTGGGAAATTCCTATTGCTCCTATAGATCTGATGGGAATTGAACATGAAAGAGTTGTGAAAGCGGAAATCAACTCGCTCATTTGTAACGCACGCTTTCATCAGGTGTAGTCGAGGGAGATCTGGCCGCTGTGGAGGCGTACAAGTCATCAAGCGGTGACATCGCACGTCAGCTGACCTCAGACGAGGTGCGGATTCTCAACCGCCCGTCTGCGTTTGACGCTGGTTTCACACTGGTGCATCTGGCCATCCGTTTCCAAAGACAGGACATGCTCGCGGTGCTGCTCACTGAGGTCAGAGTTTTACATGTGTATGTGGGGGTCAAGTGAGGTCAGAACAGAATTAGTCTTACAAATGTTGTTTGCAAATGTTTTCCAGGTGTCTCAGCAGACGGCAAAGTGTATACCCGCTCTGGTGTGTCCTGAGTTGACAGAACAGATCCGCAGAGAGGTGGCGGCAGCACTTCACAGGCGTAAAGGAGAATTCCCCTGTTACTTCTTCACTGACCTCGTCACCTTCACATTACCAGCAGGTGATCACTCACGAACCTCCCGCTCTGGGATCTCACTCTTAGACCTATTTAGAGTGGGCTGATTTGAACTTTTACACTAAAAAACACTTAGAATGATTCTTGTTCCCAAAAATATCACAATTTTATTGTGCACTATAGATGGATTTAACAGACTAAGGGCGTTTTCACACCTGAAAGTCCGCACCAAGGTCCGAACCAAAGTTCACGTTTTGATACATTTTATACTTTCAGAAAGTTTTGGTTTGGTTTCACACTGCAATTTTGCGAGCGTACTAAAGTACTTTACGTGACATACTTGCGTCCTGTCGTCATCATCTACACAGTATATGTGGGCTGCATCTTGACATTGATTGGTTTAGTAAATGGACGTGCGTCTGACGTCAGCATGTTCTCAGTTCGGCGGGTAACTTTGACAACGTTGCAGCTATATTGTTCTTTTTATGGGATGATTACCTGCAGCACCAACTATACACAAGGCTGGTTCAAATTCGCCGAACGAACGTCCTCATCGTGCAAACATTTTATCGTCACCGGCAGGAAAGCAACTTATTATGTCATCAGACCATCCTTCAAGTAAAAACCTCGTCTCCTCCTCTCCCCATGTGCTACCACGGCTCATTTTTCCTGCCACTTTTTGTTTTTTCGGCTTTTTAACTTCCTGTAAAAGGTTTGAAAGTCTGAGCCATACAGAAATGCTTTCACACCAGAAACCAAACCAACCAAACCTTTTTTTCAGTTTGATCCGGACCGAGACTTTCTCTTTACGTCGGACCAAATTTCATCTGTTTGGTCCGGTGGAGGTTTCACACCTGTAATTTTGATTCGGACCAAACTGAAAAGTCAGAAAGTCCAGACCAAACAAGGTAGGAGTGAAAGGGCCCTAAGTTAAAAAATCTATGGATAATGAAATTATTAAATTAATCCTAGAATGCAGTTGTAAATTAAAGTATAATGAAATATAAGTATAAAAATGGTCAATCAAGCTTTCGTCATTTTTTGCGCTGTTCAAAATGGCCAAGAGTGTTCTCTTTTTCCGAGTCAATTCGTTCATTTCGTTCGTTGAAAGAACCAATATTTTCAATTAATATTTTTTTTTAAATGAGCGATCGTTTCACTAAATAAGACTTATTCATCGTCTGGAATCGTTTAAAGCCCTTTAAACAGTTTGCACTGAAACTGTCTTTTGGACCTTGAACCGTTTGGTTCCCAGTAAAGTGAATTATATGGAGAAAAATCCTGGAATGTTTTCATCAAAAACCTTCATTTCTTTTCGACTGAAGAAAGAATGACATGAATATCTTGGATGACATGGGGGAGAGTAAATTATCAGCAAATGTTTTTTAAAAAGTGAACCACTCCTTTAACCAATACCCTTCAAAAAGGTCTCTTCAGGATAATGAATGAATAAAATAATGTTACGTAAAATTAAATAGTCCAAGTCTGCTTGCACTGGACACTGTTTTCTTGTCCTCGTCTCATATGAAACACCTGCGATTCAGCAACTACCTGCTAATACACTCATTTTTGCGCAAGTTGCCTTGTTGACAAGTTTGTGTGATTAAGGGCAAAACGCACAAGATCTATTACCTTCAATGCCCACTTTCTTTTGTAGCAGAAATAAACAGCTGCATAAAAGGTTGGGTGCCATGCAAAATCAGAAATGGTCTAATTATTGGGAGATATGAGGGTCTGTGGCTCTACTATTGGAGAACGCGTAACGCCAACTTGGATCATGTGCGCCTTAATAACCAATCCTATTACAGCCTTGACATTTTGTTTCGACTTGTGCGACGGTCATTCACTGTTTGCACTACAGATACCATAGAAATCAATGAGAAGTCCCGTGAACTGAATCTGTCGTGCAGTTGTCCTTGACTTCTCTTATAAAACAGAATTTTTTTGGTGTAAACTCTAAGATCAATCAAAATGAATGTTTAAGAGCAAATATGTTGAAGATTAGCCGATTTGCTGTCGATTTGTTAAATAATAACCCATTTTCCCTATAAAAGAAGTTTATTCCGCATAGCTAAGCATCTCCTCCATTAAAAAAAACTTCTTATGGTCTCCTCCTTACCACTGCTTTAGCAGGCGTTGTGCTGTGTTGTGTTATAAGCTGCAAATATGAGTTATAAGTGGATTACTCATCACAAATATAATGGTGTAAAGTGTGCATAGGCCTGTGCTTATTTCAAAATGCGGTCAAGTAGAGTAAAAGTTGCTATCTATCTAATTATATTTACTCAAATAATTTACACTACTGATTGAAAGGAAAACTATTTAAAAAGTGGAATAAAAATCCTCAATAAGTCCTGTTTTTTTTTTGTTTTTTTTAAGATATTGAAGACCTCCCCCCAAATGTTCAAGAAAAACTGTTCGATGAGGTTCTGGATCGAGATGTGCAAAAAGGTAAATTCAAAATTCAATTATTGAACACTCAAAATTGGCCAAGTAAACCTGTATTTAATACAAGTTGGGTCATATGTTATTTTACCATGCATAATTTTTGCTTATATTTATTGAAGATGTAACAGTGTTACAAGTGTGCCAAGATATTGTAAAGTTTGGGTGTACAACCTTTTAGACATTAACATAAAAAGAAATGGAACAAGCTTATTATTATTTTTATTTTTATCCGCCTATTTGCGGTCCTAATGATCCACAATTATACAGTTTGTTGAATTTTATTTTTTGCAATTTAGTATTTTTCCAGATCAGAAAAAGAGCTGCATCCTGTTTTTGGGTTACAACCCACCAGTTGAGAATAAACTGATCTAGAAAATGCCCTAGCTGGTCTATTTCTGTTGCATCCCTGAAGATCTGCAGGCAGCTAGCAGAAACGAAATCTAGCTATGGATGTGCAAAGAAACGGGTTGAGAAAATGATATATTCTGTGTTCAGAGCTGGAAGAGGAGTCTCCCATCATTAACTGGTCTCTGGAGCTGGGCACACGTCTGGACAGCCGGCTGTATGCTCTGTGGAACCGAACCGCGGGAGATTGCCTTCTGGATTCTGTGTTACAGGCCACATGGGGAATTTACGACAAAGACTCAGTCCTGAGAAAGAGCCTCAACGATAGCTTACACGACTGCTCTCACTGGTAAGACAGGAAATTAGTAGGCTGGGTTCACATTAAAGGTTCAGTAAACATTTGATATTTCAAATCAACCCAAATAAACACACACCCCTCCCTTCCCATTTCTCCGCCCCCAAAAGTGATGTCTCTTCATCATAGCTGAAGCAAAGCAAAATAATGTTGAGAAATAAAGCAAAATTCTTAGTCATTCTTCAAATCTCCCTCTTACTCACTTTCTCTCCTTCCCCATCATGAGTAAACACGCACCCTACATCTGATTGGCTCACTTTCTCCTCCCCATTCATGGGTGGACACGCCCCCTACCTCTGATTGGCTCACTTTCTCCTCCTCCATCATGAATGGACATGTCCCCTACCTCTGATTGGCTGACTTTCTCCTCCCAATTCATGAGTGGACACGCCCCCTACCTCTGATTGGCTCACTTTCTCCTCCCGATTCATGGGTGGACATGTCCCCTACCTCTGATTGGCTCACTTTCTCCTCCCAATTCATGAGTGGACATGCCCCCACCTCTGATTGGCTCACTTTCTCCTCCTCCATCATGAGTGGACATGTCCCCTACCTCTGATGGGCTCACTTTCTCGTCCCAATTCATGAGTGGACATGCCCCCTACCTCTGATTGGCTCACTTTCTCCTCCCCATTCATGAGTGGACACGCCCCCTACCTCTGATTGGCTCACTTTCTCCTCCTCCATCATGAGTGGACATGTCCCCTACCTCTGATTGGCTCACTTTCTCCTCCCGATTCATGGGTGGACATGTCCCCTACCTCTAAATGGCTCACTTTCTCCTCCCAATTCATGAGTGGACATGCCCCCTACCTCTGATTGGCTCACTTTCTCCTCCCAATTCATGAGTGGACATGCCCCCTACCTCTGATTGGCTCACTTTCTCCTCCCCATTCATGAGTGGACACGCCCCCTACCTCTGATTGGCTCACTTTCTCCTCCCGATTCATGGGTGGACATGTCCCTACCTCTGATTGGCTCACTTTCTCCTCCCCATTCATGGGTGGACACGCCCCCTACCTCTGATTGGCTCACTTTCTCCTCCCGATTCATGGGTGGACATGTCCCCTACCTCTGATTGGCTCACTTTCTCCTCCCAATTCATGAGTGGACATGCCCCCTACCTCTGATTGGCTCACTTTCTCCTCCCCATTCATGAGTGGACACGCCCCCTACCTCTGATTGGCTCACTTTCTCCTCCCCATTCATGGGTGGACACGCCCCCTACCTCTGATTGGCTCACTTTCTCCTCCCCATTCATGGGTGGACACGCCCCCTACCTCTGATTGACTGTGTGTTGTGCTGCTCGGTTTGATCCACTCTCAATAAGAGTTTCTCATAAATTGCTTACTGCACCTTTAACTACCCAGAACACCCTAGTATTGTTTTGCATGGGAAGCATCATGCATGTTTTAATCAGCAAATCTTGTCATTGTTGTAATCCTTGTTGAATTGCAATGGTGTTTATTCAAATCGGTGTATTTGCATATGTGGATTTCATCACAGATATAATGTGTGTGTATTCCAGGTTCTATACGCGCTGGAAAGAGTGGGAATCCTGGTATTCCCAGAGCTTTGGTTTGCATTTCTCTCTGCGGGAAGAGCAGTGGCAGGAAGACTGGGCGTTTATACTATCATTAGCTAGTCAGGTAAACAACCAGATTTACTGCTGCTGATAGATTCAGGAAAAACATTAATATTTCACCACCTACTGAGATACCTGCAGTTGACTCATGCAGAAACACACACACATCCCACTCCTAGAGGATGAGGGCTGGATTTCTCCATTAGTTTGTCATTTCCATACAGCTTTTTGTACAGTTTCATAGTGCTTGAAGCCAACATGAAATCAGAACTCACCCTATTTACTTTGGTAATACACATCTGTGGCTTTAATGTGACCGATTCATCAGTGCATGTTTTTCTGAAGGAACAGAACGTTTTTCTTTGTAAGCTTTCATCGAGATGTAAAAACCCACTCCAGCTCTAAACAATTGTTCTTTTTGGCGGCTTTAAATGGATCATTGAATATCCTTTTTCACTGGGAAATATGCCAAATAGTGACAACAAAATGGGTTGCAAACAGGGATGGACATTTTTCAAAAATATCATCAAAAAACATTCGATTATTTAAGTGAAGTTAAACGAGAAAGACGTTATTTATTAATCATTACGTTTTTGTCAACATTTCTAAACAAGCTTATGATTAGGCAATATACACGACAAGCTTACATTATATCTTGAGATTTTCTTTTAGTTGAAAACATTAAACATTGTGTGCAAACAATAAAAAATACAGTACAAAATAATTTAAGCTTAAGCAGAGAGAACAAAGCAGCATGCGCCATTTATCATGCAGAACATACAGAGGTTGGACAATGAAACTGAAACACATGGTTTTAGACCACAAAATTTGATTAGTATGGTGTAGTAGGGCCTCCTTTTGCGGCCAAACAGCATCAGTTCGTCTTGGGAATGACAGTCCTTAACAGTGGCCAGGGGGATTTTAAACCATTCCTCTTCCAGAACAGCGGTCAGGTCACTGTGATGTAGGTGGAGGAAAACGTTTTCTGTCTCGCTCCTCCAAAGTGGCTCAAAAATATTAAGATTTAGTGACTGTACAGGTCATGGTAGATGTTCAACTTTACTTTCATGTTCATCAAACCATTCTGTCACAAGTCTTGCAGTGTGTTTTGGTGCATTATCACACTGATACTCTCCGCCCCCTTCAGGGTACAAAGTTTGAACCACTGGATGAACATGGTCCTCCAGAATGGGTCAATCATTCAAGCACAGTAGGGAATGTATTGTTACTGCGTTTATATTGTTTCACATGTTAAGAAAAACAAGAATATCCACTTGTTTGGGTCAAAGTTGGCTCCTTAGCCTGATAGCAATAAGGCCGGCTGCAGAGAAAACGCACTCCGCTGACACAGACAGACATCACATGGACACAAAGATAACGGTGTGCCAAGCGAAGTTTGTGTTTTCTGTTCTTACACCGTCTTCCTCGATGAAATTTAATGGAATCATATGTCTTAAGATCATTTTGCTATTAGATAAGTACATAATAAGTACAGCTGTGCTTTCCTGTAGTCGTGAATGCAGTGGTGGACAGCTGTCTGTCTTCATTTAACTGGTCAATACCGATGATTCGGTGTTTGGATTTCTCATTGTGGTGGTGATTATTATAACTCAGTTTGCACACACCATGTTGATTCGTTTTATCAAAAGTAATTCCCTTTTGTAGGATAATTCCACACTTCGCTACATCTAGAGGCAGATGACAACATTTTGTTATCAAATACAATCTTGTTTACACACTCCACATCGCCATTTAATGCATTTAACTGTGAGTTTTAGCTTGCATGCTTAGGATTTATCATACATTTACTGCATTTTCGGCCTGCAAAGCAACATGTAGCATGTTTTTGAATAATTATTACAAATGGAATATTCGACTATTCATTCACATGACAAAAATAATTAGCATTATTTGAAAATGGCGTTTCACGTTGATTTATGTTTTTCATAAGGAAACGTAGGATTGAGGTTTCTCTGTCTCTCTGTCTTGTTTCTTTTGCCTGCAGCCGGGTGCGAGTTTAGAGCAGACGCACGTGTTTGTTTTGGCACACATCCTTCGGAGGCCCATCATAGTGTACGGTGTGAAATATTACAAGAGCTTCAGAGGAGAGACGCTTGGATACACACGCTTTCAGGGTGAGCTGTCTTTAAGCACGTTACTATAGCGTGTAGATATTACAATGTGGTTCGCTCGGTTACTAATAGCTATTTCTCATATTATGCCCAATATAATTAAACTTTATGGTTATCAAAGAATCCTGAAAAAAAAAAAAATGTTTTCCACAAAAATATTAAGCAGTACAACTAATTCAGCTTTGATCAAAGGAATAAATTACATATTCAAATATAAAACAATTATTTTAAATTTTAATAATTTTTACTGCTTATTTGATTAAATAAAGGCAACTTTTGTGAGAAAAACCTGACATTGTGTATATTTAAATTTATACATGATTGGAGCTGTCAAATCGTTTAATTGCAATAAATACTATCTAGTGTGTGTGCGTGTGTGTTAAACTAATTTAAAAACTCTACAAACGGCCGAATCTCATCTGCATAATTGACTTGGTTAATGTGTGGTGGTGTTCTAGTTATAAAGATGCTGTCACTGCACATGTTTAAGGATTATATTAATTTTATCAGTCCTCACAGTAATGATTAGTGTGCGCACATTAGCATTTTTCTGTGGGCTGTTTGACTACGCCGGCCAAGAATTGTGTGATATATTATATCAGCCTCTGGCAGGCTGTTATTGCTACTATAATGACAAAACTGCCAGCAGAAACAATCAATGAATCTCTGTCAACACTCGGGCTGACTTCAAACACAGTGTTTGTGTTCGGGGTCAAGTCACATAGAGTTTGTGTAAATACTGTTTTCTTGTAGGTGTGTATCTGCCTCTGTTATGGGAGCAGAGTTTCTGCTGGAAGAGCCCTATCGCCCTGGGTTACACGCGTGGACACTTTTCTGCCTTGGTTGCCATGGAGAACGATGGCTACGATAATCGAGGTGCGGGCGCCAACCTGAACACCGACGATGATGTCACTGTCACTTTCCTGCCGTTGGTTGACAGCGAGCGAAAGCTGTTGCACATCCATTTTCTGTCTGCACAAGAGGTGAGAAGCGCTCTGCTGACATGAAAACACTAGATTATGAATATTTAAGAGGTGTTATGGCCGTTTACACTGCGTCGGAAGTTTCAGAATGGGACGAAAATACAAAAAGCAAGTCTTGCTGAAGGCTAGGTTATTTTGTAGCCATTTATTTTGAATAATTGATTGGTTCATTACATTTAGTAATGAATAGGAAATATGTATGTATGTACAAAAAGACAATAGGATTTTTCCATTGGCTTTTGGATTGTTGTAGAAAATAAGCTATGTGACCAACAAAAGACTATGATTCTGACACATTCATCGTGATAATAATATGAGCTTTTATGAATTTTAAAGTCTAAATACAATCGGCTGGTGAGCTGTTTTGGATACGTTTATCGGCAGAAAAGTAATCATTGTTATCTAACTCAACGCGGTTAGTCTAATTGTTTGTATCTCGTGTTCTGGATTCTCCGTGAGTCACATGTTTGTACCTTGTTCCTCCATCTTAACACTATCCTGTCAAGTGGTTAACATCACATAATCAGAAAGAGCATTATTTGTAGTAACAGTAACACAGAATTTTCTCCACCATACTATATATTTTAAAGTTAATTTCATGCCATTTAGCAACACAAGTCACCCAGCTTTTATTAATATGATATTGTAATATCGATATAGCTTTCTGCAATGTGCAAATAGTGTCTCATAGCAGCCACTGAGCGAACGCGCACAGTAATGTTAACTTTCAAAACATTTAAATGTATTATTTGATTTATAGGATTTATTTATCATCATTTTGCCCAAGTGAAACAGCGCTACGTTAATTCACAATTTTAATTGGTCAAATAAAGTGACCTGTAGGAGTAGTAATTCAGCACTTTTATTAGAACGAAATAAAATAATGTGAATATAAGCATCATGGGTAATGTATTTTTTCACCATAAATTCCACTGTTAAACACAATATTTAAAAAAAAATAAGTTGAAATAATGTGGGCTGATGGCTTCAATGGAAGCAAATACTATTGATTAACAACCTCGTAGCTCGCCATTTAGAAGTCATTGTTAAAAATCCCTAAAAATGAATGACGTTTTTACTTCCGGAACCTGACTGTTGCCCTCTTATAGAGTGGTGCAGGTGTGATGTCTGCCAATCACAACAGCAGCTTTTAAACAGGTTCCAAACAGAGAGGTTAAGGTATGACATCACTTTGTTGGGCAGTTGGCAGTTAGCATCACGCTGGTTCCCTCGAGAAAAACCCGATAAGATTTTTCAATAGGCTTTTGGATTATCGCTAAAAATAAGCTATGCGAACAACAAAAGTTTATGATACTTGCATGCATGTTATGTCCATCAAGATAATTTTACCAGATAACACACAACTTTTATGAAGTTTGAAGCCTAAATGCAGTCGCAAGTAAAAAGCTAAAGCTAGGCTATAAATGAACTACACCACAGTCCCATGACTTTGACGTCACCATCAATAAGGCCCCGCTTACACGAAAGGAAAACGCAGATATTTCCCTGTGGTTTGGCCTCTCGTTTACACGAAGTCCCCGTTTTTATCACAGAAAACGATTATTTCTAAAAACTCCGGCCAAAGTGGAGATTTCTGAAAACGCCGGTTATGTGTTGTCGTGTGAACTGGGAGAAATAGCGTTTTAGTTTCTCTCTTGTCGATTCTGAGGATTCTGATTGGCTTGCATGGCTTTATCCTTCTCCCTACACTGCCGCCAATAGGTTTGGCATAGTTATGATGGGGCTCGACGGCGTATTAATGCGGGTGTCTCAACGATGTTATTTTTGAAAACGGAGAAGGGGTAAATATTCGTTTTGCTAAATACCCGGCTTTGTGTAAACGTGGCCTAAGCTTCCGACAACTCTTTCAGTTTCCATCTACCCACATTGGTAACACTTTACAGGAAGGGGTGTGCATAAGACTAGTGTTAGTGACAGCTGTCATTAAGTGTCATTCGCTCATTTATGACATTTTTAATGCAAATATGACATTGTTTGAGATGTCTTTGTTATGACACCTTGACATAAACCAATACATCATAACCTGTCAGTGTCTTTGTCATGACAACTTGACATTACTAAGACAACACAACCTGTCATCAACATGACATAGCAGATTAATGATCAAACTTAAGAAACCACCTAGCTTTATTGGTTAGCATTACATTAAACTGTCAGTTGGTTGGTTTTGACATTGGCTGTCATGAAGCCATTATAACATTTTAATGACAAATTCAATTAGTACCACTGTAGTTGAGGTCACGAAAAATATTCATGACACAGTTATAATGACCTCATGACAGCCAATGTCAAAGCCAACCATATGACCAATTTTATGTCAAGATGTCATAACAAAGACATCTTAAACAATGTCATATTTGCATTCAAAATTTCATTATTGCGCAAAAGACACTTAATGACAGTTGTCATAAACATGCATAAACCTTACTTCATATTCAAGACATATGTCATGTCATGGTTATGAAGGTGTCATGTCAGTCTTATGCACACCCCTTCAAGTAAAGTGTTACCAAAACGTTTTCACAGAAAGTTTGAGTTAGACTAGTTTATAAGAGCAGTTGTCAGCATAACGATGCTGTAAAAGCGTCGTTTACCTGTTAATCTCATTGATTCCATTTACACCTGGTCACATAAATGTGTTTTTGCAAAACGGATATAAATCCGATCTTCAATTCACGCGCTATAGACCATTTCACAAAATGTAAACAACACTGGTCCAGAAGCACTTCCTGTTTCAGTTTGTAACTGTTTTCTTTATTTCACGTGTAAAGAAAACATCTTAAAGATGTTTGTTTAACTTTTTGATTCAGTTTTAAATGTTCTGTTGGTTGTATTTTATCCCAGCTTTTTTATAGTGTTAAAAAACTGAAACAGGAAGTGCTTCTGGACCAGTGTTGTTTACATCTTGTGAAATGAAGTGCACATTACCGAAAGCAACAGATATGAGCTGCATTTTATTAATCATCGGCTAATTTCAAAATCAGCAAAGACAGCAATAAGAAAGAGCTGCAACAGCCCTGGTAAGATCATTTCGTTTCTTTACTTTTAATGAAGATGGTAGTGTTAAGCGTCTGCGACTTACTTTCACTTTGATTTGTGATAGATTGGCTTGATTAGGCGCTCAGCTGCTCATCTGAGGTGATGCATGTTGCAGTAGCGTCGTCATATCTGACTAAAATAACATGACATATAGCCTATAACACCCTCTCACACGTTTATTTTTTTATCATTTTTGGGAGTAGTAAAATTTACATATGTGGTTTCAACAAGCAGATGCATTTACACTTGTCCAGTTTCGTCTGGAATGCGGCCCAGACCACCTTCTGATGTGGTTTGAGCGATCGGATTCAAATCCGTCTCAAATGCGTTTCGGAGGGCAAGTCCTATTAACAAAACATCTTAGTATTATAGGGATGGGCAACGATTAATCGCAATTAATTGCATCCAAAATAAAATTTGTGTTTACATGATATATGTGTGTGTGGTGTTTATAATTATTTTATATATATAAATACACACACATGTAAATGTTTAAGAAATATTTGCATGTATATACTTTATAAATATTTATACATAATAAATATTATGTATAAATATAAATATTTGATATATTAAGAACACATTTTTCTTAAATATATACATGCATGTGTTAGTATTTATATATACAAAATAATTATACACACCACACACACATATATCATGTAAACACAAACTTTTATTTTGGATGCGATTAATCGCGATTAATCGTTGCCCATCCCTATCATTAACTTGATCGCAGAGCTTGTTTTTAGTGATAATCCAAAAACCAATAGAAAAAAATTCTATTGGGTTTTTGTTGAGGGAACCAGCGTGACACTAACTGCAGATTGGCTTACAAAGTGACGTCATACCTGCAGCACTAGTTGGAACCTGTTTAAAAGCTACTGATATACCGTGACATGCTCTCTGATTGGTTACTGTGTGCATCCGTCAGATGGGGACAGAGGAGCAGCAGGAGCGCATGTTGAGGCAGTGGATGGACTGCTGCGTGACGGAGGGGGGGGTTTTGGTGGCCATGCAGAAGAGCTCGAGGAGGCGGAACCACCCGCTCGTCACTCAGATGGTCGAGAAGTGGCTGGACGGTTATCGGCAGCTTGCCGCTTGTCCGACTCTATCCGACGGAGAGGAAGAGGAGGAGGACGAAGACGAGTGAACAAACGAACAGTTGGCATCACTTGACACTACAACACAGCCCTTTTGCGTTCCCCCACATCCTCAAACACACACCTTTAGCCCCAGCCGAACGACTAACCCGATTCGGTTTTTGTCACTAATGCGGCAAATAATTTGGGTTTGTTGCAAAATAAAGGAATGCAATCATGATTGTATTTGTCTTTACAGAGTATGTTCTTTGCTTTCGTTTGTGTTTTGTTTTGAATTTGCCGTTGCAATGCTTGTAGTGATTTAAGGAATAAGAAGTGGAAGGAATAGGAAAGAAAAATTGCAGCTATTGAAGCACCCTTTTTTTAATGTAATGGAACCAAGGCAGATGTCTTTTATTTGTGTAGTGTGACTCTAGACTGAGATTACTAAAACATTATTCACTACACGTTTAACAAGCGTTATCTTTGAATCACATGCACGACCGTCACGATTGCTTTTCGAAATAAAACTGTCGGTTCTCCGTTCCTCACCCGAACGTTACGAGGAGAACCCAAGTGGACATTTCAACTTGATTTCTAACAGATTTTCTGTATTTATCTGTATAATAGTTTGTGAGCCATAGAAATGAATGCTTTTCCACTCACATCTTTGAACTGTACTGCAAACGTGAACGTTGCGAGGGAAGAAGAGGCATGTTTCAGTTTACCGTGTCCATTGGATGAGATTTCATGCCATTTCCCCAAGGAAACATTATTTCAGCTCTTCTTTAAATGTGGTCCGTTCACTTCTTTTAGTTGTGTATTTGTGTGACGTTTGTCTTCTGTGAAATGTCTGGCCACAGGTTTTCAGTGCACGTTTTTTTTTTTCCACTTGGGTTTCCAAACCCTTCGTCATCACATTCAAAGACTTGATGTAAACCAAAGTGAACATTCAGAGAGATCTGTGGAGTGTTTTTGCAGTGCTAATATAACCGGTTATAACTGGCTTTTGTTTTCCCGTTCTCATCTCCTCCTGTATTTGTGTCTGGTCCTTCTCACATCTTGCATCCTTATGTTTTATTTTATTTTTTAAATTATGTGATCCTATACTATGGTATATTTGATAAATAAGGTGGAGACCAAATTTGGTGATATTGAAGACCTAAGTGTTTTGAATGTCCAACTATGAAATATTATAAAACTTTGAAACAAAACAAAAAGTGTGATTTTCTACATACAAACAATTAACCATAATGAGATATGAGCCTATGCTCATTGAAGCTATTTGATTGCAAATTCATTGATGTTTCAATGACTCATTTAATTCATTTAATGTTTCAGACTATTTACTTTGACAGTGTGTTGCAGAACACTAATCCTGAAAAAGGTTATTTTGAAAAACCAAAACAGGGTATGCCAAAGAATTACGTCAAACAGTCTGGTGCTAGAATATTATGATGATTGTTCAGTAACAAAGAGCCTGCTAAAACAATGCATGCATGCTTCATTAAATAATCTCTTTTTACTGGGTTTCTACTAATGTCTTTTTCAGTGGATGTGCATTTTAAAAAATAATAGCAGGGACAGATTTCAATTTATATGTGAAATTTGTAGTTGTATATTTTTATTGTTGTATAGTGTACGAATATGGACTATATGACCAAAGATATTTGAATGGGCACAATGGTGAAAAGAGCAATAGCTTGCCAGAGAAATGTTTTACAGCAGAGAACTAGAAAAGTGTACATACACTATAAAAATGTCCATGAGTTTTCTATGATTTTCCCTGGTCTGAAAATCATATTTTAAAGCTCTTTTGGTTTTCTATGACTGTGGGAACCATTTGTTTCGGTGTAAAGGTGTGGTCACATTAGCGACATTTTGGTATAGTGATTTTGCATCACTAAACCTCATGCAATGTAACTAATACAGAAGTCACTTTGAAAACAAGCAGCTTTCTGTTGTTCAGTGTGGCAAATTTGCATTAAAAACTTAAGCAAAATTTAAACATAGCTAAGTGACTGTACCATAAAGGAGTAGTTCACTTTAAAAAAAAAAAAAAAACTTTTGCTGATAATTTACTCACCCCCATGTCATCCAAGATATCCATGTCTTTTTTTCTTCAGTCGAAAAGAAAATTAAGGTTTTTGATGAAAATATTCCAGGATTTTTCTCCATATAATGGACTTCAATGGGAACCAAACGGTTCAAGGTCCAAAAGACAGTTTCAGTGCAAACTGCAAACCATTCAAAGGGCTTTAAACAATTCTAGACGATGAATAAGGGTCAAGCAAAACGGTCGCTCATTGAAAAAAAAATAACAGTTTAAGTCTTAAAAGGTCAAACGCTCACCTTGCTCTGTTGTTTAAAGCCCGGAACACACCAAGCCGACGCCAACGAACTAGCGCTGATGAAAGCCGACTGTGTTGTTACCTCTCGTCGAGGTAAAAAGTTGCACTTGAACACACCGAGAGAACTGCAGCCGACTGTCAGCTAGAATGTGCGTTCTGCGCCTGCGTGTAGTTAGGACAACTGTCAATTTCTGCAGAAATATTAGTCTATATTCGTCATTCAAACAGGAAACCCGACGCTGCCGGCTGCAGATACACATAGCGTAAACAAAGCAGCGCGTGCTTACCGTTTTGAATATCAATCCTGCTAAACACTTTCTTTATTACACTCCGCTGATGTTAATATTTAAATATTCACCAAGAAACACTCAGGTAAGATGACGTAACATAAGAACAGCCTTTTATCTTTACCGTTTTGACTTCTTTGCTTGCTGTTTTGCTTTTATTCTCGTGCACTGACTCTTTCACTAAGCGGAACAGCCAATCAGAGTTTTCTCTTTCCCCAACGGCCCGACGCCGATTCAACATGTCGAATCTGGCGAAACAAAGCCGGCGACGGCTATTTTCAGACAACGGCACGGAACCGTGCGTATCACACCGAGGAAACTTATTTGGCCGACGCACAAAATCTGCCAGATGGCCGACCGTCGGTTTCGTGACTCTCCTGTTCAAACTAGTTCATCAAAATGAACAAATCTTTTTTCGAGTCATTTGGTGCATTCAACGAACGAATTGACTCGGAAAAAGATTTGTTCATTTTCATGAACGAGAGTCAAGAAAACAGCAGTTTGTCTTTTGGACCTTGAACCGTTTGGTTCCCATTAAAGTGCATTATATGGAGAAAAATCCTGGAAATTTTTCATGGGGGTAAGTAAATTATCAGCAAAAGTTTTTTTTTTTAAAGTGAACTGCTCCTTTAACAGAATATGTTGGCCAACATAAATATACAAAATAAATCATTAGCCCAGGTTTAACAACTATTTTTTCTTATTACTAACCCTGGGAGAAAGTATAAATCATGTACAAATAAAACAGGAAACCATGCAAACCAGTGATTCTCAACCAGGGCGAGGGGGCCTCCGCAATCTTTTCAAAGGGGACTCGATAAAAAACGAGCTTTAAAATTTTATTTAAAAATAAGCTTTTTTTCATGGCGTTCACAAACGACATGATTCCTTCGAATATCGTGGATATTATGGGGTCTTAGTGCGGTCTCAATAATGTTGAGAACCAATGCTGTAAACATTGAAATGGTGGCTATGGTGGTGACCAACAGGTGAAGTACAAAACATATGACGACTGTATTAACAGTGCATATATTTAACCAAATGCTAGTCAATTTAACAAGTTACGGTCATTGAATGGCTTTCCTGAAGTAAATGTAATGTTGTGTGACATTGTTTACAAGCTGTTTTAATGATGTCATTCCATTGTTAAAATACTGATTTCAGCCATTACATAAGACCTGATACTACCTGTCTCTTTCAACATACATTCTAATGTTCATTCATGTTTATTTCGAACTTAAATGCAGATTTAATGTATTAGCTTATGAAATAAAAATAGACAGAGAAAATGTGCCATCAGAGAAGCGTAATTAAATAATTAAACGTCACCATTTCAGTCAATGATTGCGTTTTGCGCCCCTCCAAAATGTATTTTCGGTCAACCCAAAACCCCATTCCCAAGCCAATGACAGCTGGATCGCTGGATCTAATCGTGAGACGATGAATTCAGTGAAACCTTAGTGAACTGAAATATTTAATTGGTATTGAGCACAGATGACAACAGATGTTTACATCAGGAATAAGTCTTAATATAAAAAGGTGTAAGACTGGATAATGATATCTTAAAGGTAGAGGCCCTCTGGTGTTCCCTCCTGCTTCTTGTACAGGACGTTCTCTTTAGACTTCTTGAAGTCTTCATTAGTAACTTTCATTCTCCGTTCCCTCAGAGCCATTAGCCCTGCCTCTGTGCAAATGGCCTGGAAAAAAATAACATTAAATCACTATTGAGTGCAACAGAGTTTTCAAATCATTGGTGGTCTTTGTTCAAGTCGTAGTTCATGTTTTAGGCCTAAATTAAAAAGTATTAATTAGTCTGACAAGGTGAAATCAACCACATCATCGTGTTCTGCAAGACATTCCCTGTGTTTACTATAGTAGGTGAAAAACTGTGTGTAAAACAATGTTTCTGATTGGCCACTGTTGACGTACTCGTTGAAGAGCATTAACAATGTCATTGTTGATCATTGTAGCCAATCACAGACATATCTTGAGCGCGTCAGCACAATGGCCACTCAGAAGTGTTTAAGAATCTGTTCAACAGTGCTCAAAATGCTGGTATCGTCACATTTGTAAAATTGCCGAATTTCATACTACACACATTTAAAACGTACTTTTAATGGTTGCAAAGCAAGTTTCAAACCAAGTGTAGCACCTACTGTGCAGTATGTGGTTTCGGATGCAGCGATTGTTTTAGCATGTAATTGAATTAAAAAAGCATTTGATGCTACCTTGATGTCAGCACCCGAGAGGTCTTCTTTAGCCAGGATGAGTTCATCCAAAGTCACGTCATCGGCTACGGTCATCCTGCTGGTGTGGATCTGAAAGATTCTGCGCTTGGTCTTCTCATCCGGCAGTGGGAACTCAATTTTACGATCAATTCTACCTGTGGGTTCACATAAAGGGAACACCTGCGTTTAGTCTATATGTAATGTAGTTATGTGCACTTTAAAACCGATGAAATTCTCCACACTAAAGTTTGACATCTCTGGCCAGTGAGTCCACTTTGATTTAATTATCATGTGAAACCCACACCAGAAATAAGTATGGTAAGCTGACTCATTCACCTGGTCTAATGAGAGCTGGGTCAAGAGTCTCTATCCTATTAGTAGCCATGATGACTTTGACATCTCCGCGGGAGTCGAATCCGTCCAGTTGGTTTAGCAGCTCCAACATTGTTCTCTGGATCTCCCGCTCTCCTCCAGAATTTGAGTCATACCTGCAGTGCAGAGGAACAGCAGCGAACATCAGTGTTTATTCAGCCTAATCTGCACCTGATATACACACACGTGCTCACACATGAGTTTTCAATTCAATAGTATATTCTATATAAATACAACATCACATATGTCAGTTGCAAACAGCCTCATCAAAGAATAATACAAATTGTTTACATTTGTTTTGTGAATTATGAGTGAATATTGTGTAAATAAGACAACATTTAAAAGTTTGTTTAGTTTGTTCTATAATAATTTACTCTTATGTGTTATCATTAAGTTACACATTACGTTATGTATTATATACACTAAAGCTCAAATGTTTGGTGTCATTAATTGTTCTTTGTAGGACATTAATACTTTTATTCAGGAATGATCAATCAAAAGTGACGGTAAAGAAACTAAAATAAAAATACTTTCTTAGAATTATCATTTACAAATCTTACAAAAGATTTCCATTTCAAGAATCCTGAAAAGAATTCATCAAGATTTCCACAAAATAAGTATTAAGTACCATACATTTTTTTTCAACACTGATAATAAATTCCTGAGCAACAACTCATCATATTAGAAAGATTTCTGAAGGATCACGTGACACTGAAGACGCTGAAAATTCAGCTTTGGTTCACAGGAATAAATTACATTTGAAAATATATTGAAATAAAGAACAGCTATTTAAATTTGTAATAATATTTAATAAAATAACTATTTTTTGCAGTATTTTAGATCAAATAAATGCAGCCTTGGTGGGCATAAGAGACTTCATTGAAAAAACATTAAGAAAAAAACATTACCAACCCCAAACTTAAACATGCGCTTCAAAATCCCCAGGACTCACCTCTTTGTGCC